ATAGCTGCTTCACGGTCGCCCATTTTGGTTGAGTACGTGGAGAGATAACACGTGTTTTGTGTGGGAGTGCTGAGATTTGTGAGTGATCAACATCCCCGGGTGATCAACATCCCGGTCAGCTAGCTTACGACAGAGAAGACGCTCAGTTAGTCTGCGACCCTAGACGACTGAACTGAAATGCTGACATGCGAATCTAGATACATGACAGCACCGCTGTACGGTGTAGCGCTAGTCGTGGCTGTAATTGCCTGCGTCATTGCCGACAAAGTTCCAAGATGGCGCGCTATATTCACCATGGCAGTCCTTCTGATCTTTGGTACCGTTTTCTGTGCACTCGCATCGGTCATTACAGCATCTATTCCTCGATACATCTTCCTCTGCTTTATAAACACTGCAATATGGTGCGGAAACCCACTAGCACTCTCATATACCAGCACAGTTCTGGGACTAGCTCAGCCAGAGGTGAGAGCTATTTCCCTAGCCAGTATTAACGGAGCCGCCAATCTTGCGCAGCTTTACGCTACAGAAATCATCACGGTGTCCAAACCACCTCTGGCTGTTATGGGATTCCAAGTATTCTCTGGACTCTTCGCAATTGGCGCTCTGATCTATCTCGCATGCTTCTTCATATACCAGAGATGGCCCTACAAATCCACACAGACTGCTTGAATGACTGGGAATGATTGCCCCCGAGGGACAATCATAGAGCACCTGGAATTTTACAAGGAGGGGTGATAAGATTTCAGATAGCTCTCGTAGCAATTGAGGCTTTTCTATTGACAATTCTTGAAAGTATTGCTCGCTTCAGTCATCATGGTATTTGTCCTTTCTCGTTTCGGACAATATTGCTCTGCTTTTTGTGATGCACCACTACCTCGTATACCGTTTCGGCTTCAGTAAAGATAGCGAAAAAACACATTCGTAGGTACTTTTCTCGACAATATCTGGATGAGAGACAAACGATACCCCAGCCATTTAGCTGACTGGCCGCCTCATGCTGCATTAGACCTGCCGTGCCCATACCACAACCTTGTCTGATATGACTACATATTCACATAGGAAAACAGATCAAAAGTGTCGAGCATAAAGATCGAATCCGCTGTACTCAGTGTCGAGGCGTTATCTCCCAAAACGCTCATAGGTGCCGGAAGCATTGAGACATCTTGATTGGGATCAGAAAGCACCTTCATGTATCCTTCCAAGCCATTAGCCAGATGATATACAAGGTGTTGACTGGAAGCTTTCTGTGCACGAAGTTCGCGTACACAATCGTTCACCTGTGACAGTACGGCTGGAGCATTCACCGCTGTAGAATCCGGGAAACCAATCTTAGCTGCCTTGATAAGAAACACGGCCGCGAAATTGATCATGGCATGGTAGTATATGGGCATACCGACAAGTGCTGATCGTAAATCGTCACGTTCAACGGCTAAGCTCAGCACAGCTGCGGCAGACGTGACTGCGGTTCTCCCAAATTCCTGCACCTCGACAGATGCGCTAGGCAGAAATCCTAGAGGCAAGCCTCGGAAGACGTAGGAGCAGAGGTGCAGCCGAGCGAAATGGTAATTCAAGATGGCACCATCTCTTGGGAACCACCCAACGTGGGCGTTTCGTGCTAACTAATTAGTGCATGCTCGATACTTTGAAAAGACGTTGCACATACGCATTCTGTTGCCCCAGATCATGTACCATCGATCTAATTCGGCGAAGTACCCACGAAGCTGGGGTAGACTGTGATTCGGTACACCCTGTGACGGGTCGCCTCCGAAGACATCTCTGACCTTCGACGTGATGTGATAGAGCGCAATCTGACTTGACATTCTCAAATCTACTTCTTGGTTCTCGTTGATTCGGACGAAGGCTTCCCATTGTTGATGGGGCTCTTCAGAAGCGGAGATCAAAGCAGGTCGACCGTTGAAGATGCTCGACTGATGGTCATGGATGTATAGGATATACCAAAGACGTGCTTTTATAATGTCTTCTTGCTCTGCGCCGCCCTTTATGACCGCGTAGTAGGCCAAGTGGTAATTGAGTCTCATGGCCAAGCGGATAGCATGCCCAGGCAACGTGTATGATATATCAGCTAACCAGTAAGCGCCAATTATAAGCGCTCTGATAGTGTCGGAAGATTGTGACACAACGAACATGCTCCCCATGACTAATCTTTGATACTCTGCATGACATGTCTTGAATACTGAAGAGCCATCGGGATCATGCAGTGCAGCTACTGCGCATAAGGCAGCGGTAAGCATCGGAGAGCTGGCTCGAAGGTCTCTGAGAGTGCTGTAGGGGCACATGAGACCGTAGCAGAAGTAATCGAGACGAATGAATGTGGTGAACAAACTCTCCGCTGCAGCTTCTGGAATTAGGCGTCGTGTTATGAAGTCGTGACTCTGATGGTTCCGCTGAGTAGACGGCAACACATTTCCGACACCGAGAGTGGGGAGTCTCGTTACCTCGTAAAGAGAATTGATGGGTAGACTGTATATGGAGTCATCGACAGGGGCGACAGGTGTCAAAATAGGCGCCGGAGGTAATGTGTCCTCCTCGTCTGATCCATGCCCGCCCTTCCAATGTTCCGGTCCAGGCTCCACGCCTGCCGGGGTTTGAGCGTATGAGTTCAGTGCTGGCAGATCAGACATGCGCAGTAAGACGTCCACGGCAGTCTGCAACTGCTGCACACGACCAGAAATATGATTACGCCATCTACTAATTTGTTGGTACGGGATTTGTAGACTCCAGGTGGGTGTACTTGCTTATCATGTTGCTCAAGCATAATTGCTTGCGGGTGTTTCTCTACGCGACATTCCAAACCGCGGTTGCGACACCGCCGACATGGACCTGCTGTATCTGGCATGACACATTTGATCTATTCCCAAATCTTAGTCTCATATACTGTAAGTGGATCATCTCATCAGCGCATCAGCAGAAGCTCACCTTGAGATGCCTGCACGTAATGCAAGCCTTAGTTTGTCGCCCTATCGCCGGTTTTGGTGCAGCTCCTCCAGGCTGCTCAGGGCTCTCCATTTGATTAGACATGAAATCGAAAATATCTCACCGAATATGTGTTGATGAACAAGCGCCGGCAACCCAGGTCTTTAGCCTAGAGCTTTCGGGCCCACGAGCACGCCAGAAGACGATGCTCGGTCAACTGGTGCTTGGCGCCTAGAGAAGCAGGACGTGGAGAACAAGTTCAGCTTGCATCTATGCGTTGAGAGGGTGCGCTACTGTCGTCGGGTAGAAGATGAGCCGACTCGCCCGTTAAGCGACCCCGCTATTTCATGCGCCTGTCTTCCCCGCAGTCGGAGTGGTTTACAAGACCATGAAACTGAACCATGAGGCAGAAGAACATCTTACTCGCAGCCATGTATAAAGCTAAATACAGCGACTACTAGCCCTGTCATGAGCCTGCGCATGGATAGTGATCTGGCTCCACGCTCAATGATGAATGACTAGTTCTACACTTGATTTGACTTAACGCCGCCTGGCTTCTCAATCTAATCAACATCTTGTATAAGCGATAATTCTGTGTCTCAATACCACATTACTGGTTACAGGCTCAGAAGCTTGCTGAATGATAAAAAGTATTATTATGACCGAGATCTTGCTGTTAGAGTGAGTTGCGGGGTCTTCAGGGATACTTGCTCCTGTGGTTTGGAGCTGGGACATGGCAGCTCACCCCGCTTCGAGGTTTCCACCATTCCATATACGACTGCCAGGCCATCAGACACGTAAAAAATATGCAGGAAGGGAGAGGTATGTCACAAAAGTATACGGTTAAGGCTGGAGCAATGGCAATTATATGACTGAGCATCACGTACAGTATCTATCATGGCTTTATGCAGGCCTGAGGCATCAACTTGTGGCCATTTATCTATTCCGAGGTTAAGATATTCTTGGTCTTGAAAACAACAGCTTCTTCCGGCAGGTGTGAGAGAAGTAAAGCAGTATCCCAGTACAACCAAACTTCCTTGAAATGCAGACCTTCAGGCGTGATTTCATCACCACTTGGACCAACGATAGCAATCATGACAACTGGGATGCTAACAGTCGGTGTCTCCGCATCGTTGCCCTTGACCCATAGGTTGCGGATATTCTGGGTGATGAATTGAGTAGTACCGTCATCACGCTGAATCTCCGTGAACTGGATCCAGTCATGGCTGATGCGGTCGAAGACGCCAAACAATTTCTTCATCCATGCCCACATCTCTTCCCCGCCATGATAAACGGCGTTGTTCTGATTGTGAAATGTAACATCTTTGGAATAGAACTTGAGGCCGGAGCCAACATTGTATCCTTTATTGTCGACGGCGTGGACGTAAGCCTTGAAGAACCTTTGTGTAGGCGTTGTTGGCTCCCAATATGGACCGGCTAACTGCGCGGTAAGGGTAGGCATTTTGTGTTCCCTGGATGGTTCGATAATGCGAACGGAGGCGAGTGTGATAGTGTGTGAAATTCGCTCAAGACTCGAACGTTCTGAGGTAACTAGTCGTAGTCGTAGATGCTGAAGTACGGATGAGGAAGGTACAGGCCGCAAACTTATATAGTTATAACATACGTCAAACCTCTCCGGGATACTAGGATCCGAAGTGTTGCGCCGGAATAGACCGGGCTGTTACACCTAGGTATGCTGACAAGTAATCACCATGTAGATACAATCACTACATATAATGGGCTCAAGGCTAATGATTCTTAACTCTAATCATAACTGATAGAGCCGAGGTGACTTGGAAAGACAAATAGGATACGAAGTGGAGCTTAAGGATATCATGTATGGAAGGGTTCAATCCTAGTGGACGATTACCAACAGTCGTACGAGGTGAGGAGACGGATGTCAATGCGAAAAGACACATCTGACAACAGAATCCGAGGATTGTCCGGCCAAATTCTGTTAGGGTCTGGGCTGGCACTTTCTAAACAATTCTTGAGTTATTGTCAGTGAATCGATACTCTTATACATTACCTTCGTGATAGGCGCCAGTATTTCTTCTAGCTCAGTATCTATAGCAGTTGGCACTGACACTAGGACATCTGTGGGCTGATTGAAGATGTTGCTGAATTATGGGTACTGATAAGAGATGACGACAAGCGTTATTCGGCTGCTCTCGTAGAGATGAAGGATTAGTATACACTAGTGATCGTTGCCTCGGTGGCCCTAGCATCAGAATCTTTTTCGAAGAAGCGCAATGTAGCACACTACTGCTAATATCGCCCAAGTATAGAAATGATCGGCCGCTTGCCGACCTTGGAGCGAGCGCTTGGTTTTGTAATCATACCGAGGTTTTGTGCAAGGTGGCGATTAAAGTTTGGCAACAACACTAAACATGATGAGTGTACTATGCTTCTAAGTACCCTACAGAAGAATGTGATCCCAATTAACGGAATAAATAAGTAGAGTAAGCTTGGATGTCTTTACGCAGCTATTTTTCTTGAAGAAACTGTTCTTATCCCGTTTGATACACCTAAACTCCGCTCGCACCTTACATAGTGTCAATCGATCATGTCTGCCTCTCGCCAGGATATCGAGTTCAAGGCCTGTGATGGCACTATCCTTCGCGGATGGTTGTATCCGAGGGAACAGGCATCGCCTTGTATCATCATGACCCATGGAGTACGTTTTCTCCGTCCTTTCACTCATCGCATTCTCCTCGTGTCAGTCGAGTAACTTACCTTACTCTCACAGCTTGGTGGCACTCGTCATTTCCTACTGCCCAATTTCGCTACTGCGTTCCATGAAGCCGGTTACGTCGTTTTGCTTTACGATAATCGTAACTGGGGCGACAGCGACGGCCTACCCAGGCAAGAGTCCAATCCTGCTTTGCAACAAGCAGATTATTACGACGCCTTCAACTATGCGACTACTCTGGATTGCGTAGATGACGCGAGGGTGGTGTACTGGGGAAGCAGCTTTTCAGGCGGTAACGTTATTCATGCAGCTGCTGTGGATAAACGCATCAAAGCAGTGATCATTCAATGCCCTGCTGTTTCTGGCGAGACTCGATCAATCGCATTTAAAGATCGCATTCCAGTAGTACTGGAAGATAGAAGACAGATTGTTAGCGGTTTGGGGGCACCCACTGTACCTCTTATCGCGGAAGATCGCGAATCTGCCCACCCGACCAAGACAACGGCGATGTTTCCTACTAAAGACGCCTACGACATTCTTAAAGAACAGAGGAACTGCGGAAGCCGTTGGGAGAATTTTGTCACAACTCAGACACAACTTCATATGCTCACATTCGAAGGACAAGCTATGATTCACAGAATATCTCCTACGCCACTCCTTTTTGTAGTCCCTGGTAACGATGTGCTTGTATCAACAGCTTCTCAAATGAGTGCTTTCGAAAAGGCTAGAGAGCCGAAGCAGTTGCATTATCTGGAAGGATGTGGTCACTTTGACTTATATTTGGGTGATCACTTTAAGCAGAACATCCAGGCTCAGATAGCTTTCTTGAATACTTATGTAAAATAACACAAGATCTACGATACACAACGGCATTTGATGAAGAAAAGAAAAAGTCTCTAATATATCCACGTATCAATACCCATTGGCTACCGTATCTGAATTGAACATAATATAAAGGGCGAGCCATTGCATTCACTATGTATGCTGTTTGATACTAACGATGACCACTCTGACTTCACATCCCTCTTCCCAACTTACACGGTTCTATTCCAGAACGGCAACTGATTAGTTCATCCGTCTCTTTATGTCGAAAGGAATCTTAGTTCTACTAATTATCTTCGTCCACTGACTTGCACCTCTACTCCCAGGTTCACTCGTCCTCTATAATCAAAGAAAGTCGTAGATACTTAGTCATCCTTCAACAAAAGGCATACGTTGGAGAGTTTGGGAGCATAAACGATATACTCTAGTATTGTGAACTAAGATAAGTATCCTCCGGTGATAATTTTACTGAGAATACCATGGCAAAGTGTAGTCTAGACTTACTAGGCGCTACTTAAAAGTTTTCTCCTAAGAGATCCCTACCTAGATAGCCTCTTCATCTTTGTGATCGCACGGATCTTATCGATGACAGCATCTTTAGTGGGTGGGAAGAGATCCTCTGCATGGACTCTGTTCTGCCTCGGAAATATGATTACTCATCTGCAATACAGCAAGACAATGCCTAGGTATCGAGGAGTTACAACCACCACTCGAATGACTGGTGTTTCAAACCGCGGCGAGTAACATGATTACGAATATATCTTGAATGTAGGCGTAAATAAATAGCTAGAACATTCTACGTATACATAGTCTCCAGAGAACATTCATACAATCTTGACCCAAAACGACACCAAAAATGGCAAGCATGAAAGCAGTCGGAGTGTCGACCTACGGGCCTGTCGATAATCTCCAGTCTCGTGACATTCCCAAGCCCGGAGGGCCAACTGGTAGAGACGTGCTTGTCAAGGAAGTCCTGGAACCTTAACCCTCTTACTTTTCTAACAATATCGATAGGGTCAAAGCTTGCTCTGTCAACCCGATAGACACAAAGATTCGAGGCGGTACTTATGATGACGCACCTGGTAAGAAACGACCGGCCTGATAACGACTGATGGCCAACAACTGCAATCAGATTATTACGAACACGCGCCCCAAGGCTTTCACGTTATTGGATACGATGGTGCCGGAACGATTCTAGAAGTGGGCCCCGACGTCACACGCTTCAAAGTCGGTGACGACATCTCATGGGTCGGAGCGACAACTCGTCAGGGTAGTTACGCAGAGTACCAGCTCGTTAGCGAGTTCCTCTGCTGCAAGAAACCGGAGAACCTCGATTTCGTCGAAGCAGCGAGCTATGGCTTGACATTTGGAACAGCCTACCAGTCTTTGAATCATCGTCTGGAGATTAAGCCTAATGAAGACGCCGGCATTCTGATCGTACGTCCTAATTGCCTTTTACAAAAGTACTCTTGACTACGTTTCCTAAGTCTGAGCTGACGTAATATGATGTAATATAGATTAATGGCGGAGGCGGAGTCGGTAGTGCTGCTATCCAATTGGCGCGCAATGTTCTACACTTACCAGTAGTTATTGCTACTGCATCTCGACCCGACACTGCAACGTCTTGCAAGCGAATGGGGGCTACCCATGTAGTAAATCATCGTGAAGATCTTGTTGAGGAGATCAAAGCCTTGAAACTAGACGTCCCGATTAAGTATGCTTATCCCTATATACCTATCCGCTCATAGCACACGTAGCTGATCGTTCTCCACAGATACGCGTACGTGTTGGCACCGACTGAACAATATGTCCACGCAATCGCAAAAATCTGCGCTCCCTTTTCCAAAGTATGCACTATTGTACAAGCGGACATTAGGCTTTATGGAACCGAATTCATGTCCAAGTCGATGACCTTCTCCTGGGATTGGTTAGGTACAGCAGCGTTCCACCACAGCAATGTCGAAAGCTATCACGAGATTTTCAAAACCCTTGGAAATCTGATGAGCGAGGGAAAGCTCTTTCCGACCCTTAATCAGCGGTACAAACTTACTCTTGAGAACTTGAAGCAGGCTCATCGGCAAATCGAGTCCAAGGCCACTATAGGCAAGATTGGTCTTGGTGTCGAAGAGCCGGGTGAGGGAACACCTTTTGCTTAATAAGAGAATGCTATGTCTTAAAACAAGGGCGTTTTGTAGATCACAAATCAATGATTACCGAGGGCTGATCACTAATGCTACCACTAGTGGTCTAGTGATGTCTGTGCGCAATCTTAGTACATATCCAGAGCGCAGTTCAACACAAGTAGGCATGTTTGATGCACGAAAACTCCACTTAAACTCAGCACTTCAGTCACCACCACCAAGTCTTCTCTACACTCCTGGAATCATGGGTCTCGACTTCAAGGTCTTCCATTCTACTCGTCCCAGCGCAACCAGGACTGGTCCGTCGGGACACGACGACTTGAAATGGGTACCTACAAGCTCAACCTTGATATTCGGCGACAAAGATGCCGTTCTTGTCGATGCTCAATTGACAGAGGAAGCTGCAAAGGAACTAGTGAGCTGGGTGGTGGACGCTGACAAGAACATCACACATATTTACGTCACCCATGCGCATGGCGATCACTTTTTCGGCTGCGGTCTGCTCCTCGAGACTTTTCCAAACGCAAAAGTGGTCGCGACAAGCGAGGTAGTGGCCGGCATGGATAACGAGTTGACCTCGAAGAGACAGGAATTCTGGAACAAACTTTTCCCAGGCAAGATTCCGAAGAACCTTGTTTCGGGTAGCCCTCTACACGCAGATCAGCTGGAGCTTGAGGGCGAAAGTCTACATGCCCTCAGAGTAGGCCACACAGATACGGACGACACTACCATTCTCTGGGTTCCTTCCATTGGCCTCGCTGTGGTTGGTGACGCCGTCTACGCGAACACCCACCCCTACCTAGGGGAGGCGAAATCTGAATCATCACGACTGGAGTGGATTGCAGCACTGGACAAGATCGCTGCTCTCTGCCCTAAAGCTGTCGTGGGGGGACACAGTGATCCCAGCAAAGGTCATGATCCGCAGGCGATTGAAGAAACAAAAGTCTACTTGCAAAACTTTAACCGGCTTTGCGAAGAGACAGAAACAGCTGAAGAACTTTACCATCGCTTACTCGATTTGTATCCTAAACGCATTAATCCCGGATCGGCATGGGCTGGTGCTAGTCTTGTAAAGAAACTATCCTAATCTACAGTAATAGAGAGCTTTGGAAGTAGAATAGTTCTTACAGATTCTGTAGTTCTTCAACAACAACGTTTACAGTACTGCATAAAATCATAGTAATTTTCTGCAGTTATTAGAACCTTTACTGCTCGCGTAGCGACCCGGCTCGGGTAGCGCGCCTAGACTGTAGGACTAATACAGGCCACAAGAACATGTTGCTCACAGCCATGCACAAAACTACATACAGCAACTATTACACCCAAGAACCATGGTTCGCAACGCCCAGTCGTGCCAGCCTAGCTCCAAACCCCCCAAACCACATACACGCACAGATTGTGCCAGACTATTGGCTCTTACTAGAAGCCAAAGGCATCCAACAAACTGTTCGCATCAGGCTCGTGGAACTGGGTCGGCGGCGGTTTCTTCTTCTCCTTGTCCTTATCCTTTCCTTTCTCACCACCGTCCGTCTCATTATTCCGATTCCCCTCCCCGTTGTCTTCATCGTCATCTCCGCTTTCCCTGCCCTCTTCCAACGTCCCCTTACTCTCCGCAAGCTCATTGTGCGCATGCTCGCGCACCGGGAGGTCAGCAACGACAAGCGAGCTCCTCCTGCGCAGCAACTTCCTAGGATCAAAGTCGAAGTCCGTCGTCGCATCCCTCCCTCCTGTTCCTCCCCCTTGCGCCGATGAGTAGCTCTGTCTTGGCATCTCGGGACTAAGCGGCGGACGTCCAGGTCCTACATTTGTCTGTGGCGGCGGCAACAAGAATTCCCACCCTCTGACTAGATCGAGCGCCAGGACGTCGCAACCCATACGATCGTACAGCCCAGCCGTATGCAGCACGAAATCCCATTCCTCGCGCATACCAATCATGGTGGCGCCGCGGAGTGTCTGCAGCGACTTTTCGCGCAACTGCTTGTACAAGACCACCAACGCCGGGTCGTCTGTGAGATAAGACTTCGCCGCCGAACTGGGTGGCTCCGAGGTTTCGAGGAGAGTAGACAAGGGTGTGACGAGGGAGCGAACTGCCATGTCTTTCTTGTTCAACAGCCAGTACGCCCATGTTGCTAGCCATCTGTTTCCTTGCCTAGCAGCTTGTGGTAGAATCTTGTCTCTCAGAAACGTTAGCAGGACGGGTGAGTCGTCGCCTCCGTAGACGCGGGCAACGGCTATGGCGAGTTGTGTGTCGCCAAGCTGATTATGCAGGACACTGACGGCGTCTTGGAGATGGTCAGCGAGGAGAAAGAAGGACGCTGCATATTCGAATCTTCTTCTGCCCATAAGTGCGTACGCGTTCTTCAGCGCAGCAGTTTTCCATCTCTCTTCGGAGAAGTTGTTGGAAAGGAGGCGGTGGGTTGCGCCTTGTTCACGCGACCAAGTAGCCATGCGCCAAAGACCGACGAGGACTGTCTTTTTCCGGAGAGCCATGTAGTAAAGCGCGCAGTCGACAGGGTTCTTCTCTTCAGTTTTGGTATATTCGTTTCGAGCGATGACTTCGAATTGAGCGCGCTGGGGACGTGGTTAGTGAGTATATCAGGATATAGTATCATGTTACTGTACCAATGCGTTGATGTCGGACATCCACATAAATACTCCGCATTCCTTTGCGTGCTGCCACATCATCTTGCCGCTGAAGTGTCTGCTAACAAGGTCAACGAGGATATCCTGGCTTCCTGAGTGGAACGCCCATATAATCTCGCGCCACGATATAGGGCCTTTGTGCATTTCGCTCAGCACATGTTGACGAAAGAACAATAAAAAGCGTCCAGCATTATCGTCGATCGATCGGCGATGCTTCTCAACCATACCAATACACTCAATAACATCGGCCAGTCGAAACTGTTCGCGACTGGACAAAAGCGGTATCCGCTTGGTAGTCAAGAGTTCCTTGAGATTGGACGCGACTTCTTCGGTGACAGCTTCGGGTTCGCTATCATCTGAGAAGTCGGCGTACGACGCGTGTATCTCTTTCCGCGATGCAGTCATTTGAGTCTATTGGGGTTAGTCGCATCCTGCCAGAGTCATCCATGTACGTACCTCAGCTTCTGAAAAGTCTTCAGGTGAGAATCCCAACGAGCTATCCAGCTCCTCACCTTCGATCCAGAACTTGAGTGTAGCATAGAGGCGGATCAGGATGCGCTGGACTAATAGCAGCTTGCCAGCCAATACGCATTGTGAGAGCAACTGGGGATGGTAGGCGGGAAGGGGACCGTTGAGTCGACTAACGGCATTGAAAATGTCAATAGATGCAGTCTTGCGAGAGATGGTACGCAAGCTTGGGAACAGCCCTTCCGACACCTGGACATGCTCGTCCTGGATGAAGAGCTGGTTGCCTGCACCAATGACGAGATTGCCACTGCTTAGCCATACTGAATCGCCAATCGGATGAGGCGTGATATCGCGGATGCGCACATCGCGGATCTGCACCCAAGATGGGCCGGCGTTGAGGTAGTCGTATCGAAGCTGAGCGTAGATGACGACTCGGTGGGGGAAACCAACAGCAAGGATGGACTGATTGTCCGGGGTAGATGACCAGTCGAGATCCTGGATGATGCCGTTGCCTTCAAATCTCTCTTCGTACTCCAACTGGGCACTTCGCGTGTTCCATATGGTAAGCGTCGTTCGATCAGCATCGACCAGTGCAGCTTTACGTATGGACGTGCCACTGGCAAGTGATGGGCTTTGCACACCAGTCTCGACCTCGGAGGTCATCAGCCAGTCCAACTTCTGTTCGTCGACGTTGACGCGTGCAGTCCACGACTTGATGATCCCGGATGTTGTGTATGATATGGCTACATCTCGCGCAAATGTGTCGAGGAACCCTGAGATAACGGGGGCCGTACCCGCAGGATCTACAGGTAGTACAAAGGCAAGATCGTCACCTGATCCTAGGTCGAAGGTAGAGAAATGCCTGAGTGCGATGTCTGAATGATCGTTCGTATAGCCATTGGTATGCGCGACGGCAGAGAGTTTGCGACCTGTGATTGGATCGCGCTCTGGTGTTGGCAGTGTAACCTCCCAGCATATGCCCTTTATTTCGGCACTAATGGTGGCGATGTGCACGCGGTTCCCGCCAGCTTCGACCTCAGGTATGACTAATAAGCACAAAGGCTTGCCCTGTAATCTATACGCAGAACGTGTCACCTCAACGGCTTCATGACCGCGGGTATCCCAAAGCGAGATTGCGTCATGGTGTAAGAAAACAACGTAATTGCCCTCTTGTAAGAGGGCGGTGCGATGGATATGCTCCGTCACTTTGACACTGCTATGTCGATGCAGTGTCATGCCTTGATCGCTCTGTCGCTGTAACCACACGATGATTTCATCAGTGGTGGTGCGTGATACCAAAGCCCTTCCACTAGCCGTACGATTGACCTTCTTGATGGCATGTGAATGCCCTGTCCACATGGCTTTCCGCTGGATGCGTTGAGGTTGCGATGAGGGGTCGAACAAGTAGTCGATGCGCGACTCTAGCCATTCGATCCGCCCGTCAAAGTGATGCGACAGCAGTGTCAGCTCGGAGTCTGGCTGATCGCCGATGAAAGCGTAGAACTGTACATTGTCCTCGATGGTCTTAGGTTCCTTGGCAAAGTGCAGATGCAGTCCGTCTACATGGGCAATGTTGAAAACATCGGTGACCTTCTTCTGCTTAGCCCCCACGTTCTCGAACCCCCACGCGGACATGTTGCCTCTATCATCCAGCACGACGCATATCTCAGGGTTGCGATTCGCGACTTCGATCAGGTGATGCAGGGCGATGCCGTGGTCCTTTTCTTCTGCTGACGCCTGCTGCATGGCTCTTTCCGTCGCGTGAGTGAAGTGTTTTCCGTCGATAAAGAAGGCATATCTCTTGGTGGACTGCTGCTCCAGCGGCACATGTCGTGTCATTATCGACTCGACAAGGTCCACGTCTGCCCACATGTGCATTCCATCCACCCCGTGGTGCTCACCTGGAACCCAGACTCGCACTCTCTGGTCTGCGCATATTGTATATAGTACATTGTCTGTGGACTGGTCCTTGTGGTGCGGGTGTCGCCAATGCAAGCCGGTAATGGCTTTGGGGTGTGCGAGGTAGAAGTAATCGAAGCTCTGGTCGGCGGAACCAAACGAGGTGCGCCGCCATATCTTCAGCAGCCGGTCGTACCTGCCTGTTGAAGCTATCAACTCAGCATCGGGCGAGAAATGGGCAAACTTGACGGGGTTTGCCAGCTGCTTGGTCCATATGCGTTCTATGTTGTCGCTGTGCGTGTTGAAGAGGGTGAGGGAGGCGCTGCCAACGAGCAATTCGTCGGGCATACCCCACGAGAGCGTCGTGATTGGGTCGTCGACATCGGAAAGGGACATGCTGCCCTGTTGCGACCACTGCGCACATCAGCAGTCATTCCCAGCGTCCCCTCGGCATGTGGCCCACCTTGACGGCCCCCTCATCTTGCCCGTATGGCCGGTATATGTAGATGCGTCGCGTCGAACATGCCGCGAGTTTGCCGGTGCCTTGGTCAATGGCGACTGCTTCGAGCTCGAATTCCTCGTCGATGTAGATGGTTTGCAGGACGTGGTTTGGTCGGTCGAGGACGATGAGCGCATTACCGGAGATGTAGACCTATACGAGAAGCGCGTCAGCCTCCATAAGCGCCATGTGGTGTCTGGTCATACGATTATCTGGAGGCCGTCCCACAGGCCATGAGCGACAGCCTGGAGCTTAGCCTGGGGTCGCCCAGGGAGAATACCGCGCATAGAAGTTATCGAGCCCTGCTACCGTCGACTGGACATTCTCAGGCTGTTCGTCTAGATCGAGTAGCTTCTGGTTGGGGATAGCACTCGTAAGGTTCTATTAAGCTTTCGGTGTCTCGCGGTACAACGTGCGGCACCTAGGGTTCCTGGAATGAAGCTCACGCGCACGATCCACGTGCTATGTCGTCACCTCACACATCGACAATTTTGAACAACAGGTGGAACATGTTCGTCGCCTCGTAGCGAGTTCAAGATGTTTTCAGTCAGATTCTAGAGCGCGTAGTCGAATCGCAAGCGCCGTTGTTTGGAAATAAACTACATTGTTGACGCTGGAGGGTTGCGCGAGCCTTCCGCAGCGCCGTCTCGGAATCGGAAGCTAGCGTGATAAATCTCGGCCCGGCATCAAGTGGTTGGAGCATGGCTTCGAAGCTGCAAGAACGTGTCTCTGTGGTATCTATCTACATCCATATTTTTTTTGTGTAATCGCAAATACCTTCAGGCCATCCTCATCCAATCTTCCCCTTCAACATGGCCCTTACGCCATCGTCCTCTGCACCCTTCCTTCAACATCCCCCTGCTCTCCCTGCCCCTTCCACTCCACCGTCACCGTGATACCCCGATCATCACCTTTCTCCTTCGCATACGTCAAGCTTCCCTCCAACACTGTACCCTTCTTGTACACCTGCTTCTCCGCAATCTCTTCATCCAGCAGCAGGACCGCCTGATGCCAATGTGTTGGTGTATTGTTCGGTCCCGTCGAAAAGCCCAGACCGGGAATACCATTCTTGCCCCAGTCGACACTATCCAGCGTCTTGACATCCTGGGAGCTGCCAGGGTGAATGAAGATGGTGTCAAACCATATCGCTATGGCTTCGAGTGATGCAACGTCGCGGTCGAGCGTCATGCGAAGGGGTACCTTGAAGCTAAGATCTTGCACGGACACGGTCTTCATCTCGAGTAGATGGCTTGTCGCGCTGCCGCAGAGGGCCTTCTCGGGGACGTCAAAGACACCGATCTCATGTGTGTTGAGTAGGCCGCCTGGGACCATAGGCGAGAAGTCGAAGCCGTAGATGTCTTTCCAGAACTTTTCGCTCGTGCTGTCGGCTATCCAATCGGCGTCTGAGATTGGGGCAAGGCGGATGTTGCAGTGCGAAGGTACCATGATGCCATCTGGCTTGAGGTACATGTCTCGTGCGCGCAGAACAGAGTCTAGCATGCCCTCGAAAAGGAGGCCGTAGCCCATCCATTCCGAGATGATGATGTCGACTTTCTCCTTGCCGATCAGGCGCTGCGTATTAAAGTCTTCCGCACGGCCCTGGATGAGTTCGATACGGTCTTGGTATCCGTTCTTTGCGATGATTTCTTTGGCACGGACTGCGATGCCGGAGTTGTCGACTGCGAAGACTTTCTTGGCACCTGCTCGTGCGCAGAAGAGGGAGAGGATGCCAGTACCACATCCCACATCTAGTACAGTCTTTCCAGCGAACACCTCTGCGTTCTTTTCGATAAAGTCACGGTACCCCTCCGTTCGTACCCGGTCCTCGATCATCTCACGGTGAATGCTGTTGCCTTTGTACGATTCGAAGTAGTCTTGATCCCGGTCGTTGGTCAACTTGATCTTGGAGAAGTCTTCTTGCATGTCTTTGTGCATCTTCGCCTCGTATTCATCGTAGTCGATGGCCTTGCTGTCATCATCCGGCATGAGATCCCCAAGTTCAAATAGTAAGGCATCATCCTCTAATACTGGCTGTAGGTATTTGTCGCTCGCAAGCTCCTGTAAGGTTACTTTGATAGCTTTGGGCTCCGTGCCTTTTTGAGCTTCCGCTCGGAGGTAGTTGATCAACTTGATGACGGTGAGTTCGTCAGCGTCTGGCACAGTCAATCAGTAGTCATCCCAAAGAGGTAAAGTGCGCAGGGCACATGGACGCATTGTAAACCATACCTGGTCCAAGCCCTTTGATCGTGGCAATGAGATCAAACCCGTTCTCAGCCTTGTTGTGCTCTACCATGTCCGACACACGAGTCCATTGTCGATCCGAGAATAGATCTTTGAAGCTAGTCGTATCCGGCTCGCTTGCGTCTTCGACAATGCTGCCGACTGAGCTCGCGTCGTCGTCTGAAATGTCCGACATGTCGTGAAGTGCAATCACTGTACTTTGTGCGAATGCAAGCTTTTTGAAGTCTGCCAAAACTGCAGAGAGTTGTGATGTCGCGTCAAGTTGCCTTTGGTGGGGGAAGGCTCTGCGGTTAGTGTGTGCGAATGTGGGCGAGCCTGCGGGGTAGGTTTGTCGGGCCTACCGTACCTTCTCTGCCCCTCCCAATTCGTGTTTTGCCAACACTCATCAATCTCATCAATCTCATCAATCTCATCAAATGTTTAGGCGTTGCCTGACACAGAACACCATAGCGTACTACTCAATACAGTGAAGTCTCTCTCTCGGCGCTGACCCTGATGTCTTGACAGCGTAGCCCACACGTTGCGCTCGTCGGCAGCTCCATCCAAGGTTGAACGTCTTTTTCCCGGCGATGGTACGATCAGTTTTGCACTTTGTCGTAACCTGTGCCAAACTCAGTCACTTGCATCTTTGTTTGTCGCTTACATGTATGCTAGTACCAGCCATCACTATCACTAGCACAAGATATAATTGAGGTGACAGTCTAGCAGCCTGACACTCGACTTTGGATCAACCATGGAAGGTAATGAGCAAACCTCATCATGGCATCTGAAGAGACAGCGTCCTACTATGCTCGAGTCACTGTGAGTGGACGTATGATAATCGTCAAACACTACAGTAACCACAAATCAGGTCGATCGTGCGTTCAAGAATTCGGGACCAAAGTTTCAAGAATACTATTCAGACCTGTTTGAATCTACGGCAGCAAAACTCTCGTACTATCTTGCTATACGAGCTGGGTTGTAGAACTTGCTCATTCAACCTGAAGCCTCGAAAACTAGATCAACCACACTCACTCTTGCGGAACTTTGCAAAACTGTCCGATCTAACGCCCGACTGTTCTTTCTGTAACCTCATTAAAGAGTCATTTGAACAGCTTACAGACAAGAAGGATGAAACTACAGTGTGTGTTGTCAACTGTGGGAAGAAAGGTCTTGACATACAATTGTGCTTTCGAATCCAGGACCCATACTGTGAGGGCCAACATGTGCAAATATTTTCTCCTGGCAAGTACTTTCCAACCAGAGATTGAAACCCTCCTAATTTGAAGGTAGAAATAAAGCAGACGCGGTGTCCTTTCGAAACACGTAACATCTGCTCAGATCCAAGGTCAAATGACCAGTTCAAGAAGATTACTACATGGATTAGTGATTGTGTTCAAAGCCACGGGCAGTGCACAGCTCCGAACAAGGCGTTTGCGCCGACCCGCCTAATCAAGGTTGGTAAGGAAAGCATTCAGGATACTCATCTTGTATCCTCGACCGGTCCGGTGCGCTACGCTGTATTGACATATTGTATGGACGTCCTCCATCGCTGTAGTGCTCCACGTGCTGACTTTGATGATTGAATACCAGGCTGGGGTCTATATCCCCAGTCTATGACATTAAAGGCCAACGTTGCAGAAAGGCATAGGTGCCTAGACGTATCTCTGCTTCCTCAAACCCTGCAAGATGCATTATTCGCCACTCAAAAGCTAGGGCTGGAGTACATATGGATCGACTCGATCTGTATATTGCAGGACGACCGCGATGACTGGGCAAAGGAAGCTGCTACCATGGCGGACGTATACTCGAATGGCTACGTGGTCATTTCAGCAACGGCTGCAAAAGCATCAACCCAAGGATTTCTATGGCCAAGAAAATCACCACTCAATATCTCATGCACGTCTCCATCTGGTTCACAATTCGATGTGCAAGCCCTTCGAAACGACACACATTGGTGCAACTTGAATAGACATAACAACGAGTACCCGTTATTCTCCCGAGCGTGGTGCATGCAAGAACGACACCTAGCAAGGAGGATCGTCCACTTTCTTCCCGGCGAAGTGCGCTTCGAATGCCGCACCCACGACACCTGTGAATGTGATGCAGTACCATGGCCACACCCCGAGCCCACTTCAGGCGATGACTACTACCGAGCCCTGCGTGCAGCATGCGAGTCCGGCAGTATTGGCAATGCAGAGTTCGCTGGGCTATGGAACAATCTCATCAAGGAATACACCGAGATGGGCATAACGCACAGAAGTGACTTACTTCCTGCACTCGGCGGCATTGCGAGAAGCCTATCTCCCATCGCGCCAGGAACTTACCTTGCAGGACTTTGGGAGAAAGGCCTCGCGTTGCAACTCACATGGTACTGCGACGACTTCGACATGGACACCACGCCTATACGGATGGAGAGTTTGCGCCAACCAACATGGTCGTGGATATCGTCCCCCGCGCAGGTTTGGCCGGAGAATCTTTACAACTCTCCCAAGGAGAACCTACAGTCATTGACGTCTTTGGTAACTTCGAATGTGGAACCGCTGCGAAACGATCCTTATGGTGAGATCAGGAGTGTATCGATCGACCTCAAAGGCCCTGTAGCTTCTGGACCCGACGTTATGACGTTGTTCGAAAAGGTGGCGGCAGAAAGAGAACTATTCCTGACCTTCAATATTGATGCCAAGAATAATTCCAGGGCCGCGAGGATGCGGCCAGAGACGTGGGAGCAATTACATGCAATCACGGATTGGCGATATGTCGTATGTCTTGCGTTGTATACGTATGAGACTCGATACCGAGGTCATAACATTGGTCTGATGGATGGTCTACTGCTTCGGCGTTTGCGCAGGGACTCAACGTATGTGAGAATTGGCACCGTGACGTGGATGCCGTGGGAGTTGTTTGACAGATTCGCCGCAGATGCTGTAGTCACTGTAGTCTAGTCGCGGATGTCACGTCGCTATGTATGCTCGCGAGAGACTTTAAGGTGCGTCCCTGGGCGGAGAGGCACACTATGTCCCGAGGCAGATTGGTGATGTGGAGCTTCGTCGCCTCTATTGCGAAGAGTTTTAGAATTGACATTTACATACTGTCCTAATTAATTAATTCTCCTTCAGATTAAAAGGCTCCGATGAGGATCTCTGAAGTGCTGGTCGTGCTGTCGATCATTTCATTTGAACGTCACTTGAACGTAGTAGTGAGGTCGCTAAAAGCTCCAAAGAGTGGGGAAGGGAAACTCTACAGCGAGACCTAACCTGGCCAGACCTGTCAGGTAAGCTTGGTCCACACTAGCGCTCTTACTAGGTACTGATGATTTCATGTAACAAACCAAACACTATTGCTTCTTTGCATTGGCTTTGAGATAGATGTGACGCATGTTAACAGTTCTCTTAGAGCGTCTTACGCGGCGTGCAGAGAACTGTGCTCGGTGTTCTTTCATGTGTTGACTAAAAGATGCTTCCTACGCGCCTTGTCACGTGATTACCTCACGGGTACAATAGGCCCCTTCCTTGGTAGATAGCACCTCAGCTTTTACAACAACAATTCCATACCCCATATATCTCGCACGCCTAGCAATGCTTGCTTAAGGCCTAAGCGATGCTGTTCAGGCCCTGGTCCGGTGTTACCTTCCTGATGTTGGTGAGCACCCACATTAAGCGTCTTAGTTACCTGCTCGCGCCCTCTAGCTGAAGCTGCCTGCAGTGCGTTGCCGTACTCTCCACCCTGCGCATTGACCTCGGCGCCCGCGTCGAGCAGTGACCGAAGCATTCTAGATGCACCTTGAGACTTGTGTTGTAAAACGGAGTGCTGTTACACTCAGCTGAGGCTGAGTGTATGACAAATGTTACGCTTTACCGCATATAATACATAGTCTAGACCTATGCTAGTTACTTAGCGCTAAACATTTTTACGGCTGCATTTGAGGGTAACGGCGCATCCGCTAAGCACTGTTTTGGCCGCATTGCTTTTGATTTTCAGCTGTATTCACGACGGCCTAGAACGGTCCGATCCATATAAGGCTGCTATTCCCAACTATATAGTAGGCAACCCCGCCTCAGCTACCATAATGCGACATCTTCAACATCATGGCATACGAAAAAAAAGACTACTTCATTTCTCCGAATTGGGACCTTCCACCTAACGATCCCATCAAGCTAGGAAGCGTCATCTCGTCACTCAGGAGCCCGATCGGCCAATTGCTTTTTACCCACCCAATGAAGACAACGTGTTGCCACCCACCAAGCTGTCAGTCTCAATCACAACAGAGAAGTCTAAGTCGGCTGGCCTTTCGAAAATGACCACATTCCTAAGCGGGCTGCTACGATTTGGTGCGGACGCTGGTGTGAATTGTGAGAACAGGTATGCACAGCCCTGTGTAGACTTTTGACACCCTTTAACATGATGCAGCGATAAGACATCGTTCACGTGCGATCGCATAGGCACTAAGCAATTCATTTCGAATAAGGAATACCTCCAGCGCTGTGTCGACAATGAAGGGGTTCGTGACCATGTCAAGAGATAGGGCTTTCTCACCCCTGTATACATTATCACCGGTGTCAAGACTGTAAATGGTGCGCGAGGTGCTACAGATACGTCACGCGCAGTTGACGGACTTGTAGGTGTGCAAGTCGATGGCACTATCTGGAGCGGAGGCGCGGTTCGGATTGGTGGAGGGCCAGAGATTAGGGGCGGATTAGGTACTAAGAGCGCAGTATCCTGGACTGGTACCACGGATTTCGTTTATGCATATAAACTGAGTGTGGTCCGCACATTGTGGGGAGAGGTGGCAATTGAGCGCAGTCTCAGGGCCAAGGTCAAGTGCTGTTCTGTGAACAGCGGGTCTGAGGAGAGCGAGTCTGAGGAAGATGACTATGGAGTTCCTCTAGACGTGGAGTATCCAGATGACTTCAAAATTCAGCTCGAGGAGGATCAGAATGAGTTCGAGGTTGAGCTTGTTGAGGAAGATGATATCGTGGTTATCTACACTATTCCTGTAGGCCAATGATTTGGATTAAAAGTCCTTGTTCATGTGCATAGGGCGGTAAAAGTCGACGCAGTATCTCCTTACTCTACTCTAATTTTAGATCTTCCCCATATGCAAACCCAGTCTCAATACCGAGTGGCACATTCACTTCATGGGATATCTACAGAAACTGCGTCAAAGACACTCAGGTTACATTTCGAACGCAACAAGAGAAAGCGAAAACCCGCCAAGAACGCCCGAGTACGCAGCTCGTTTCTTTTCAATCCGTGCCGTCAAACACACCCTTCTGAACATCAGTTCTGGCAAGCGAACTACACCTCTTCATCAGAGTCTTCTTCGAGTAACTGGCGGGCAAGTTCTTCGGCGCGTGCAGCCAGGCGAGGCTTCTTGACTTGTGGAGACTCAACGACCTCGACCTCGTCCGCCTCCTCGCCGTTACCCTCTTTGTTGTCTGAAGAACTCCAGCGAGCCTCACTGCCATAGCCATGCTTGACCTCCATCTCTTCGTTGTCCTCAGGCTCCGTCACATCCTCGTCCTTTTCACTATCAGAAACCGGCGGCGTAACGCGCTTACGCTTCTTGGAAAGACTTGTGGATACTGCGTTGTTATTGCCAGCTGCAATGTAGACATGATCACGGTAAACATTATCGTCATCAGTCTGTGTGCCAACCGATCGAAACTTGCTCTTGTACGTCCCAGTTCTACGTGTACGCCCGCTCTTCCGGTGATTGACACGCTTCTCGAGTGGAAACTCGGACAAGGGAATGATATGTTCGGGATACCGCTCGTTGTCTGTGACCTCGCCGCCACCCTCGATCATCAGCCGGAAGTCGCGAGCGTGCTCGCGGAGATACCACATGGTGTGGTTCTTGGTCTCGTGAGCGGACGTGATCTGGCCACGTAGAGCGTCCAGGCCGCGAGCTTTTCCATCAACGGCGTTAATCGCATCGGTGATTGCTTGGAGGTCCGCCGAAGTCATGGTATCGTATGCATCGATGCCGTTGTCGTGGATAAAGGCGTTGATGGCTGTGTACATGGCGCAGATCTCGCCAGGCGTCCAGTGATCCCGTGTCTTCTTCTTTTCGTAGTCTGCGTTGGAGCGCCGCGAGATCTGGTCGATCCACTTGTTGTAGGCATCTTTCCAGACCTTGTCGTTGGGATCGATATCTTTCAGCTTTGAGATGCCGATGTGAATGTGCTGTAAATGGGAAAATGTACAGTCAGTTCGTGTTCCAGTGTATATTTCGTGTAAACAAAACTTACCTCATAGGCGTGTGTACGGGCGTTGAACCGGCGAAGAGCTATGCTAGGAGTAAAGACCTCGTGATTGCCCTTGAAGTTGCGCTCCCAGCGGAAAGCAGCGACCTTGTTCCAGCGGACGACGACATCGCTCTTCTTCTCTTTGTCCTTTTTTGGTACCTTGCGGCTCTCTAGGTCGGGAAAGAAGACACTAGCACGCGCATCGTAGAGGTCTTCGTCAGCAGATTCGCGCTGCTCCGGGATGATATCAGTTTGCGTGAACCAGCCGCTGCCATCCGGCATCTTGATTTTGAAAGTGGCCTCGATCTTGGACGGGTCCGTGTCGTGGGGGGCGAACTTCTCGTTTGGAGAGTTTGGCTTGTTTGTGAGTTGTCGACCCGCGAATGGTGCGGGATCGTCGGAAAGGCCGCTCTCGCTATCGCTAGCGATGCCGGTGAAGACGTGGACAGACGAGCTGGTGGCAGGCGCCTTGCCCTTATCTTTGCGTTGCGGCGTCGGCATCTCTGGCTCGATAGACGCCTGGTGGGTGGGGCTGCCAATCGGGGTGGTTGTCATCTTGATTCTTCCTCGTCAAGGTGGGTTGACCGTGTCAAGCGATTAGTGTTTGTTGGGGTTGAAGATTGCGCACAGTGGGAACGATTGTGCTTGAGCGCGTGAAAGAGCTTCGATTATCTGCCAGTTGAAGCGCGCCGGAAGGTCGAGCATGAGATAAAGCTAGTCACAAGGCAAGAAATTTGACTCTCGTGCTTCTCGCGCTTTGTGAAAGTTGTTGGAAAGTAGAGTGTGACCTACTATTGCAGTGTCGACGGTGTTTGTCATTGGTCATGGAGTAAGCCCTCCAAGATATACACGGAGGGGAGCGCAAATTTGAGACTTCAAAACAAAGCTTAACGAATTGGGAAAGTCGACGTCACTGCCTGGTTAGTGAGGGTTCCATTCACTTCCCGAGCATTGTGTAAAGTCACTCATAGTAGTCAGGTGTATATCGAAACAGCATCGGACGGTGCACGTCAAGGCATCAGTAGGCTTGTCGTGGACACGAAGGATACTTTCAAGGATAACGGCGATTGGGAAACCATCTCAAGACTGTCGAATTTTTGTGAATTGCAGAAACAGTTCGCAAGCAGAATTGCCAACCACATGGAGCGAGTGAAAAGCAAAGCTCATTAGTGTCTTTGTTTTGACAACCTCGAGGTGCTCACATATTCATTTGGAGTTGCTTGCCACTATCTCGGCTCAGTTGTAACGATATTCGCCCTATATATCTGGACCCGTATCCTTCTACACATCAGTGGAATACAATAGAAAACGAGGTGGCTGAATCATCTTCGAATCTGGGCGCTTGATCGGACGTCTTGTGCACAACAAAGCATTTCAGCAATATTGAAGTACCTAATAACAGCGGATGGTCGAAACGAGCAACAAAGCACCTGATACATGTGTGCTTTCTCAGTAGAGTTCGACGGATACATGATAACCTCGAGAATAAGCGAATGTCCAAGAGACTTCAACTACAGTTCTTCACACCTGAACGCATATGAACATTTCACAAATCATGACATTACATCAATTTTATTCGGAGTCTGCATGAGAAATTACGAAACGAAGGTTCCATAGCATTCATCGCCTCGTCAGCTCTCATCACCTTTACACGCTTCAAACAAAAAGAGCGATAGCAGCGCCAAGTCCCATCAACATAGGCGCACCGGTAGCCATCGGTGCGCCGCCCTCAGTCGCTTCAGGCTGCGCCGCACTCCCAGAGGGACCCGTCTCAGCAGCATCTCCGGTGCCGGTAGACGCAGCACTCGACAGAGTAGGAGTGGCCGCCTGAGTCGCGTCCAGCTTCTCCGTCCCCGCAGTAAGAACAAGGTAATAGGTCTCCAGATCCGACGCCGGATAGGGTGTCGAGAAGGAGTATCCCTCGTCAGCTTCCTCACCGCTCGAAAGCTCGCTGCAAACAGACGGCAAATTAGTGCGAGAGAGAGTCTCGGAGCCAGAGGGTAAGGTCAAGGTGAATTCCGCAGTTTCGGTACCGGCTGGGTCCGATCCGCGCGCAGGATAGGTATGCGTATAAGTGAGCGTCTCCTCCGATGTCGAGGCGTAAACCGTTCCGGCACAGACAAGCGGACCGACTAGCTCCGCAGAATAGGATATAGTACATGTGCGGTTCGAGTCGGCCTCATCTGGGGTAGGCCAGTTGCAGAAATAGTTATAGGATTTGTCGCCGTCGTCGTCGCCTAGAATTCCACCGATTCCAGCTGGAAGTGGAATGTCAATGCCGAAAACAGTAGGGCCGACAGTCATGGTCAATGGGCCACCGGCTAAACTGAGAGCAGAGGTATCAGTGCCGTTGTCGTAGTCAGCGACGATGGTGGTATGTGTTCCATTGGCGTTGACGACGGATCCAACCCAGCCAATGTGTTCTACCGGCTGGTAGAAACGGGGCATCCAGAATGAGGTTGTTACTTGCGCGGTCGCACTAGCTGCGAACAGCATGGTCGGGAGAAAAGATGTCATCGTAGTGATAATGACAGTCGTTTCAACGCGGGGAGAGGATATTCTGCGATGACTTCCGACTCAAGCCTTTTGCACGGGGTCTTGACGCTTCTTAATAAGATTTGTCTCTTGGCGTCTCACCGGTTAGCGGGATGCAAGGCGCACCGCAGCAGCCTCGCATAGACGGATACTGTGCCGCATCAGGCGTTCGTAGTAGCTTGGCACTCCGCTGGGGGTGGGTCGTGTCTCTTAATCTGTGGGGTGGCGTACAACCTGGTCTTGTGTATTTACCCCAGATTGGGCTGGCGGCTGGTGGCCTCACCAACAACAACAATGGGTACGCGGGTCTAATCTGTATGCAACGAGTGATTGGCATGTCTGGCGATGCAGATGCGGCTGTGCATGGCTGTGTAGTCCACGTGCGATGGAAACAACCTTGCGTCAATGAGAATACGCTGGATGTGTGGACAATCGTGTTGGTGGTGTCTGGTGGTGATTGGGGCAAATATGAGCGACCGTTAGCGGGTAGCCGCTGAGAGGACTATGATTGGTGGAACGCACTGAGGTCGCTCATTATGCGAGCAGCCGCTGATGGTGCCTGTAGTATTTCGATGGCTATGGGCGAAGTCTTGTCGGACCTACGCGGTGGAAGACTCTGCCAGGCTTCGACTGTGATGTCAAAAGCATTGCGCAGATAGCGCAAGCAGGGCTCGTCCAAACAGGCATGGTATTGACTTGTCTCTCAAGCCCATGGCGTACTTCAGCGTTGGTATGCCTATTCATCAGCGCACCTTATCTATCCCAGTATCATCTAGTTCTGTTTTTCATCTCGCGATGTCTTCGAAGAATAAGTCGGCCGGTATGCAAGGGTTGCGAAAGTATGGCATAGAGGTTTCAACGTCGTTAGGTATCTTGCGCCATCATAATGACTTTACAGTACACGCCTATCTTCAACGCTTCGTTATGAAGCGACAGGTCTCGAGCGCGACAAAGGTGGTAACAGCCTTGGCGGTACGCGTGCGCTTGCGATGTGTGCGCAATGTCCAGAAAGCACAACCATCAAAAGAGTGAGTCCTCTTGAAGTTGAAGAAGACAGGAGATGCGACGCGGTTAGATAGTCAGACGGTGCCTCAGTCGCCAGTTGCCATTGAGAATTCGGCCGCATAAGTGGGTCTCGTCCATCGGCTTACAAGTATAGCCGAGTGCGCGTCATGCCCCTTGATTGGTAATCGCAACATTCCTCGGACGGCGTTACTTATCAATTGCAAGTGCAGCGTCGCGACTCAATAACACACACCAAAAAGATGCCTCCTCGACACGACATAGAAGGCGTTATGCCAGATGAGCGCGCGCCCTTGCTCCAGAATGCCGACGTACGCCAGCGCACGCCCACGCCATCGGAATGCGACGACACAATAGATGAGCCGCAAAAGGCGACATCGAGGACCTGGTTTTATGTTTGGAGAGGACTTTTGGCGTTGTTTGTCATACTAGTTGTCGTTGTGTTTATCAAGGGGTGGATAGACGCAGATGACGTTGATGTATGTGTCTCCCAGTCGCGAATCCCACAGTCCCCCAAAGCTCACAGTATGCGACATAGTTCGATCTCAAAGGCGCGTTGAAGCGTGCGTTAGGTGGAGGCTTGAGTGGTGCTGCGGCGATGATCCTGCAAGTATTGCTCTTGATGCCCATTCGTACCATCATGAACTACCAATACCGCCACGGAACATCAACGACCGTGGCAACAAAGACATTGTACGCAGACGGTGGCATTAGCCGATACTACCAAGGTATGGGCGCTGCACTCGTCCAAGGGCCTATTGCACGATTTGGAGACACAGCCGCTAATGCTGGTATCCTCGCCTTGCTCCAATCCAACGGTTTCTTGAAACAGCTTCCATCTCCCGTCCAAACGATCTTCGCATCTGCGTGCGCCGCATCTTTCAGAATGCTACTCACTCCCATTGATACGCTGAAGACCACACTACAAGCCCAGGGATCTAGTGGCTGGGCGCTCCTCCGGCAACGTATCAAGACTGACGGCATTGGCAGTCTCTGGTGGGGTGCGTTCGCCACCGCGGCAGCGACCTTTGTTGGACATTACCCTTGGTTTGCCGTATACAATTTTCTCTCCGAGACCATCCCAGATCCAACGAGACAGCAGATTGGGTGGTGGTTGCTACGTGCTGCTTTCATTGGCTTTTGCGCATCGGTCGTTTCGGACACCATATCCAACTCGTTGCGCGTCGTAAAGACATATCGACAGGTCAATGATAAGAGGATATCCTACACTGAAGCAGCCAAGGAAGTCATTCGTAAAGACGGGAAGATGGGTCTGTTCGGACGAGGATTGAAGACGAGAATTATTGCGAATGGTCTGCAAGGTATACTGTTTTCGATTCTATGGAAGCTATTCTTGAAGATCTGGGAAGACAATACGGGCTAGAATTAGACGCATATCGAATACGATACATGGATTGGGCTAGAGGAATTTGGCGTCGATTTGATAACCTGCAGTTTGTACGGCTGGTCGACCGGTTTAGAACAGGTATTCGGTCAAAACCGAGGTAAGCCCTCGAACAACACCAGCTCAAATAGACTTGTACACACTTGCTTCTAACTCACTCAGTCGCAGTATATGCAAAATCAACTTCATTTTATAGTGCTGCGATGACGACATGTATAAGCAATAAGCTACTAACACTTCTCGCTCCACTGAATTTACAACCGTCACTGAGAGAGCTTCCTACATATGTTTATACAAAGGACAACCGGCGTTACGTTTGAATACGGTCGCATTATTGGCTATCTTCGGGTGCTTGGACTCGCTTCCCCTGCTCTTTTTGCCTTCTTCCCATCTTGTTCTCCTGCGCCGCCCTTCTCCCGCTTTCGCTTTGGTGACGACTTCCTGCTTCCCTTCCCATCACTACCCGATGATGCATCTTTACTAGCGTCCTTTGGAACTTCAACAGCGACCGACCCATCCTTTTGAAACCTCAGCAGCTCCTCTTCTGTGATAGTTGGGATGGATATAGGACCACCGTTGTCGGTTGGGAGGAGTCCTCGCATCTCCTTCCGCATTTCAGCAATCTTGCTCGCCCTACCATCAAGTTTTCCCCGTATGGATGTTGCATCGCGCGCAGGTCTTGGTCCTACGGTTTCTCCGTTTGTGTCCTTGAGCGTCTTGCCTTCGAAGTAGGCGTTGAAAGGAACCATGATGTTGGAGGGACCGGGGAGCTTGATCATGTGGCCTGCTTCGATGATGGCGCGGAGCTTGCGGTGGAAGAGCGTCATCCATGCGTCTTCGAGGGGTGTGTATATGAGTACGTTCTTCTTGGTGTTGATACCGTGCTCGTGGAAGACGCCGGTGCGCCATCTAATGATGGCGGCGATTTGCTGCTTGGATTTCCAGTCGACTTCATCGTGCTCGACGTCCGTGTAGGTCAGAGTCTTACGTTCGTCGGTCATGGTGTTACGGAGCTTGATGGTGAGCTTGTGGGGCAAGACGTTACCGGTCCGTGGGGCATCGACATTGCCTTCCAGCAGTACCCACTTGGCAATCTCATCTGAAGAGGTGTCGTCGCTGGTTCCTGTCTTGGCTTGGTGATGAATATCAAAGGTATCGTGGACTGGCGGATCGCGTTCGTTCTTCGGCTTGCGCTTAATAGTCAGCCTCTTTGCCAAACTCTTGACGGGCTGTCCTGGGAATGCTAGCGGCTTTCCAAGGGCTGGAGACGTCGAGAGAAATTGGTCCAAGGTAAGCTGTACTCCCTTCCTGTCCTGTGTTCTGAGCTTGGTCTGGATCTTCAACAGTTCATCATTCTCATTGCCATCAACACTGTTGACATGGTTGAGGTAGCCATAGTGGTCGAAGTACTTCTCGTCTATCCATAGAGAATCGTCAGCGTCTTTCAAGTTCTCTCCAGTAATCTCAGCATCCACGGGAGTAACTGGTGCATCGGTCGCCAAATGCTTTGCAATAGGCGTATCTCCTTCCTGTCTTGCCAGGGTATCGGCCATCGATATTCCTCCGTCTGGCGTGCCAGAGGTCGCTGCGCTATCAACCAGCTTCCAGCCTTTGGGGTTCGATTCTCCGCCGAAGGTCAACTGCCATTCATTGTAGTGCGGAGTCTTGGTCTTGTTGATAGGTTGCCACCCGTAATGAGAGGAGTCTTCACGTTGTTGATCAAGCGATCGCAGCTCCGCCGGTACCAACTGCTCCGCCAGTTCCGCCAAATCTCCTTCATCTTCTTCTAACGCCCTCAGATAATTCTTCATGCGTACGGATTGCATTTTCTCTGGTTCAGGGGCTTCAATAGTGCCGCCGTTCTGAAACTCAGGGGTGCAGTATGGCGCGAGTGGATGAGGACGGTTGAGGCCCATATTGACGTAATGGGATATGCGTTTGGGATTGCTAGTCGCGTCCGTGGTGTTGCTATACGAGCTCAGATCGGTGCTGGCTACGCAGCAACAGTTTTCGTTATCCTGCCAGGCAGGGTCTTCCGAAGGGGCGCGAATGCCTGTATGTGGTGGGGATGGTAGCTCCGAGTCACCCCATCTAACGAAAGGTTGGCCGTGATGGTTCATTTTGTTCTTTGTAGTCGCGGTCGTGGTCGAGATTGTGGTTGAGTGGTCGAGTTGCACTAGACTGGTGTTTGGTGGCAAGCCAGTTGGTAAGTCAGTCCAAATCACAGAATGATGTGGAGTTGAGTGATTTAAATGAGTTTGCTGCGGAAGAAGGTATTCACATGTATCCCCTTGGAAGATAGTGTCTCATATAAGCGGACCTATACCAACACCGCTTGCTTGTTATGTCGCGCACCATGAGAATATAAAGAACCTCGAGAGACATTGGAGCTAATCTGGATCAGAGACGTTGTGAACGTCAGCCATTGGCTCACAACTGTCCGAGTCGCTGGTCACGTCGGCATCAAGCGCAATATCTTCCTACCACAGCGAGACACGGACCACTTTCGCAGTTCCATCCACACCGTGCATGGCACCCCCACCCACGAGATTTGCTACGTGCGACGCCTTTTCTTGGGTGACAGACAACCATATCGCCTCGAAGCACACAACGACGATGGCTTCGACCAACCTCGACGACGGCACCTGGACCCTAGACGCGCTCAAGATCAGGATCACAAGCCACCCGCTATTCAAGCAGCATGGAATGGAGATGCCGGCAAAAATACTAGAGCAGGATCTCAAAAGTGCCGCCCGACTCTTTGACCAACACGACTCGTCGAGTACGATAGCGGACGGCAAAACCCCTCGACCACTGGAGTACCAGTCCTACACTGTCAACCCCGATCTGAGACCTATGGCTGCTGCAGCTGGTCTGAACAATACTCATGGAAAGGAGTTTAGCAAGGCTGTTCTCGCCCAGTGGTTACAGCGGTGGGATGTCGATCATGCTCCGCGCATGGCTATGTTCCTGCCACGCCCAAAGAAGAATGGCACGTCTGTTGTCCCCAAGGTGATTGTCCAGACACAAAATCAGACTGAACTCAAGCCAGCAGATTCCAAGAAACGAAAGATTGTGTCGAACATGCCTTTCGTGCCACAGAAGCGCCACGACATGACCAGAGCAATGACCAAAGATGATGATGTTGAGACGCTCGACGGAGGCAACCTAGATGACGACCGTTCCCGCCCGCAGTCTACGACAAAGACTAATACGCCGACTCGAAGACAACGCCAGAAGAACACAAGTTCTCATGAATCTCGAACCAGCCAAACAATTGCTACCCAGACACACCTCGACGCAAACAAACATAGGGGGCTACGAGTGCGCAAACTGGTCGCCGAAGACCAAGACCACGATTCCACAGTCGGTAACACAGGCCGTATCGGTGGAGAAAGCGATGTTGAAGTTATTTCTGGTATTGGACAGTCGCAAGGATTCGCTGGGGGACGACGTGGCCCTGGACTGAAGGTGACCAGAGGTGGAAAAGCTCGGAAGAAAGCCACGAGGGCTGGTGCGACAAAGACTACGAAGCAACTCGCAGATGAACAGCAGCAGAAGGATGATGAAGAAGAGCTGAGGATCTACAACCAGCTTCGGCATGGGCGCTACTCTGATCCTCTTCTCGCAGACACCTATCGTGTCAGGAACAAGACAGTCCTTGTGCGTATGGAAGGGCACGTCCGACCTGGTGTTAAGCCGGCACCTAGCGAACAACTGGGCACACGGCGCCTCTACGAGCGTGAGGTGGACTTGGCAAGGGAACAAGGAAGGGATCTAGATCTTTGGATGGGTGGACCCTCGCCTTGACGTGCTTCGTAGGACAGCATTATGAACCAACGTCAAGTGGAAGAATAGTAGAATCTGGCTTCGATTCGTTGACGTGGTTGACACCGGTGTGGTCGGACAAAGGATAGGCTTTATCTGTTGAAAGTGTGACTAATAAAGTATATAGAGATGAATTTGTAGTGTTCTCTCTACGTGTGAAGTAGTCCTTATATCCCTCAGCTCTTCATTTGTCTTCGAGTTTGACTGTATAGTCGTTTTTCGTAGACAACAATGTCACGCACAATGCTCTATGGGTGCTGCGATCTGTCCTCTAGAGTCTTCGTATCCTTTGTTGAGTAGGAAAAGCGCGGATGTGGGAGGACCTCACAACTCCATTGTACTTAGCATTACCAACGAACACAAAGAGAACGAGTTATAACCCGGATTTTGCCATTTATGGGAGGTAGCTTCCCATCATGTCGCCCTCGAAATCTACACACGTCTTCAAAAGCTCGCATTCGTGCCCATTCTCGCTCTGCTTTTCCAATCAAGTTAATATTCATCATCGTGATCAAAAATGCCACCCAAACCACCAAGAGATAGCTCAAATGAGAAAAACAACAAAGAAGAGCTTCCCCAGAGTCAAGGAACTAGAGTCCTACGTGACCGTAACCCAAAACCAGCAACGTCGCAAGGGCTGCCATCATCTTCGAGTAATCAATTCTCAGCCACGAACAAAGGCACGGGATCTGGAGGTGATATCGGTATATTTAAGCATCCTCGAGAAATCGTAGACCGGGATCTAGAAACTCGGAAACAGAAACTGATTAAAACACTACAAAATGCGGAAAAGGCAGCCGAGATACCTGATTTTGAAACGCATCTTAGAGACCAGGCCCGAGCAAAAGAGCTCAATGAGGACGATCAAGAGGAAGTTGTAGCTGTGGCAAACAAAGCAGTCGGCGGGAGCAACAAATTCAAAGCCGATGTACGCTCGAAGGCTCATGAGAATCGATGCGTGGCAACTTCCTTATACGAAGACTTCTTGTATTATCAAACGCCCGAACATCGGTTGCAGTATAGGGAGGAATTTGATGAAAGGATGCGTATAACGGCAAAGCCCATAAGAAAGGGACTACCGCCTGCTCTTCTTACAGAGGACGCAAAATATGATAAGAAGTTGCGTCCGTTTATTGATCTATTTGAACAGGATAATGTCGGAGCGACAGAGGAGATAGACTACGAGAAGATGGGTCCCAATAACTTGCATGTAAGACTTCCAAGGGCAAGAAGATTTGCAGTAGGATTAGGTAGGCCTAGAAATCCACGTCTGCTGTCGCCAATAAAACTGTCTCTGGATATTGAGGCAATAGAGAGGAGACGAAGGGAGATTGAAGACGCGGAAGGTGATCAATCTCTTACGTACGAATCCCATTCCGGGCGGCGGAAACGAGATTTAGAACTTCCATCACCTCTACCAATAACTCGTGATTCAAGCGGAACTCATTTGGAGAGTGGACTGCACATCGCAGCTAGAGAAACATCATTCGACTGGAAAACTTCCTATGATAAACGAGGTGCAGTAGCACCCGGCCGCACACTGATCATGCCAGCAAAGGCCACATTGGAGCTACAAGGAGACGAGCTTAATGAGTTCTCCAAGCCACCAATGACGCCTATCGAATACAACGCAAGTGTTGACCACCATCACGTCGAAACCACGTCTTGGGCAGAAGCTACAAACGGTCGTAGAGAATGGGCGAAGGAAGAGACTATGAACAGGATGCCAGAAATTGATCTCGAATCCAGTGATGAAGACTCGAGTGACGACGAAGGCGATGAGTTTGCTATTAGCTACCGTCAATGTAGTAGCCTGGAAGACTGTCCGTGCGGTAGTGAAGATGATGATGGTCATGGCGGTGATAGTGGTCATGGGCACGACAAAGAGGAGAATAGTAGTCCCGGAGCGCCGCTCAGCATCGCTGGAGGACCACTTGATAAATCGCAAACGACTCAACCCCGCACAGAGAGCGACCTCGACACCAATATTGTCTTGGATCAAAACACCCCACCCACTACGAAGACTACACCGAGAACGCAGTCAGGAGCCGACAAGATGGCTAGACCTCCGATATCAAGGCACAACTACAAGACCCCATACGACCGCCACCAACTCCGACAAGGTCTTAAGTACCTGGGCCTAAGTCAGAACTCATCTGAGCCGAAGGAACTCTATGAACGCATCAACAAATGGGACAGGGAGAACGCGCCCGACGCCGTGCACAAGTATATCATCAAGGACAAGCGCATTGCAGTATCCTTCATGACCAACAAGATTTTCGACGACGATTGGATGGCTCAGGTCAAGGCCAAGCTCGACGAGCAGGACCTGCAAGACGAGGAATCTGGAGAGGGATCAGATGAGGAATTCGAAGAGGGACATGAAGACAATTCTGAAGAAGGACAAGACCAAGGCTTCGACGAAGAGCATGACTCTGACCCAGAAGACGTTGACAAAGATGACATGAACGTCGATCAAGCTTCGGAACAAGGCGATTCTGGTAAGAACTTAATGGGTGGTGTGGTAGAAGGAGTATTCACTAAGTCGACAGAGCAACAAACGACCAACCGTACGACCATTGCGTCATCCCACACTTCCAAGACCCCACGAGCGACTGAGTCTGGAAAGAAAGCCACTGGAGCCGCTGGGACTGAACCGCCGAGGAGGTCAGAGCGCAATATCAAAAAGTAGAAAGCCCCGCTACTTCCTTCGGCAAGCAAAGAGAGACTGATTGAGCAAAGCGTAACTGTATCGAAGCAAACAACTTCAGCGAGCAATCGATCAACGAAGACCGCAAGCCAGAACAATAGCAAGCAGAAATTCCTAGTAAAATCTTCCACCGATGTCACCCAGCGCTTTGCTAATATCATCTTTAAGATGGCCGAACCACCGCATGTACCCCTTCTGTTGAAGTTGCGACTTAGTTCGGACAAGCTACGCCAGGAACAGCTCCGCAACGACGCCGTTGCAGATTCAAAGGTACGTTATGACTGTAAAGGACGCTGGTGAAGTAGATACTGACCTCGTAATGCTACCTTCACAGCTACCCGAGGCCGACGCGGACAACGCAACTAACGCTACAGAACAAGTCATTGCTGGCGAAGCACCTGACGCCAATGCACAAGAGACTAGGCGTGTGACCCGCGGTATGCGAGCTCTTGGCAGTACACAGATGGGCGGTACACAAATGGTCGTTACAGATATGGGTGGTACACAGATAGGCGGTACACAGATGGGCGGGATGCAGGAGGGCGGTAATCAGATGGGCACCATGCCGGTACCGATGGATAGTGCTTTGGATCCTCCAGGTCTGATCCCGCGCTCGCACTTCACCGACCCAAAAGAACGCCGTCAGTACGTGTGGGATACCCGTCACTTACGACCAGCGCGCATGAAGACAACACCCCCAGCTGCTCTCGCTAGACGCCGATGCGAGGACGCTGCGTTCGAAGCCGCTACGCAGAAGAGGCTCAAGGAGGAACGCGAGGCGCGCGAAGCCAACGAGGAGGAGTTTCGTCGCAGGCGGGAAGAATTCATCATGAAGGACAAGAAGGCGCGGAGGTGGGCCAAGGCCATCGAAGACGATATGGAGTTCTGGTACAAATCGCCTCTTGCCCGTAATATCAAGAACGGAGCTGATCCTAACCCTGAAGAGCTGGAGCAGCGTCGTAAGCTCAAGCAAGACGGTATGATGAGGGGCATGAATCCTTTCCCGGGCATAAAGGGAGATTTGATGTCTTCCGAAGCTAAGGAGAAGGAAATCGAAGAGATGCGGGAGTTCCTGGCACTTCAAGCAGCCAAGGGTGAAACTTACTTCACCCCTCGCTAGGACAAACCACGAGGTATGGCTTCAGATAACTGTCGGGAAGCCTTGAACTGAAGTAGCCGCTGGTGGATGATATGGTGATGGGAAGTATTGCTCTCTCGCCGCTTCGTCGCGGGAACTGGTAGGAATGATCTTCTAGCCATGCAATACAACATTCATCCATTGTTCTTCTCCACGATACATCATCTTCTTATGATTTGAGTGTAACATGCCAGGATACGTAGTAGCAGAGACAAATGTATGAAGCAAGCCAGCATCTCTTGGTATAAGACTTTGGTAGCAATTAGAATGACCATCTCGTGTGCTGTAGCAGATGTACACCGTGAAGGGTCGTGTGTTGACATCCGTGTGAAGTATTGCGTCCCGCGTCAGCAGTATGATGGCCGTTGGATCGGGGCAGTATGCCGTAGCTGATGTAAAATATCATTAGTGCCAGAATCCGATCGAATCAGTTCGCAATTGCCATCGACCTAAGTAAATCATAGTGAAAACACAATCTCGGCGACTCCATTGTGATTTCACAGTCGGTGCAATGAGCGGTCCGCTCCACATATAACGCGACTTCACTCACGACTTCACTCACGACTCTTGTCCGGTACCACTACACATTGACAACACCACGATCCAATAAGGCCTAACTGGCAACTACAGTCACAAGTCGAATTGAGTCAGATAATCTTCGGCCTTCGTTCAAGATGGCGGATAGATACAGTAAATTCATCGTTAACGGGAACGGTAAAAACCCGGGGTTTCGACCAATCTTCGAAGGGCAATTCGGATGCACAAACATCCACGACCTCAAGAAGCAAGATTTCATGGATATCGCTGTGGAATTTGATACGGTGAATGCTCCCCTATCCTTGGACGATCCAGATATCGGGACCAAGGCGAGCCAAGCACAGAAGGAGGCGCTGCGCGCAGCTGTGGACGCAAGACGGAGGACGAGGCAGGGAGAAGCAAAGGCGAAAGGCGGCAAGCGCACGACGTCAGGGAAAAAGAAGGCGACAGGTCTGCGCGCTCAAGCACAGAAAACAGGAACGACGTCGGCGCAGCCCAAGAAGGACAAGACCAATGCACAGAAGGACGAGGCCAGCCCAAGCGACGACGAAATAGCAGAACAGGACGATGATGGAGATGTGAGGATGGCAGAAGACCAGGATGGCGGGGATACAACAACAGTAGTCGATCCAACCGCGGACGCAGTCTCAGGCCTCCACAACAAGCGCAAGCGCCGTTCAACAACAAGAGCTCCTATCGCAAACAAGCGGATACGTTCTACGAGGTCGACGCCTGCAGGGGAGGGCAGGCATTCGCAAGAGCCAGAAGAAGACAAGAAGGCTGCGGTGTTTCCCACCCGGACTACACGAGCGACGAAGCAAACACGCGGGCAGGCCACCACACGCGTAATCCGAGAGACACCCCCGGTCGACGATCCATCATCGAATTACACTCGCGCTAGTATGAAACATTCGATGGTTGCGAAGCTGAAGGTAGAAGGTAGCCGTGTGCAGGCTGCAATCCAAGTTTCTGAGACCGATGGCGATAGAAACATGACTCTTGCCGACGTCAACATTCAGAGTCTCACCGCTGATCAGTCTCAGAAACAAACTGCTAGAGACACGCAAACAGCAAACACCCCCCAGAAGAATTATGAAGAGCGGATTTCCGGGCGACTTCAGGCTCGGTCATCTTCTCACGACTCCACAACATCGATGGGAAGCCACAAGAACGATTTGGAAGATGCATCCGCTCAACCTCAAGATATGCCGTCCGCAGGCTCCGTTAGAAGCAACAACAAGACTGCAGTTCGAGGCGAACCTCTTCAGAAAGATAAGAAAGAGACGACTAAGCCATCTGAAAGCGAGGATTCTGCGGGTGACGAGACCTCCAACGAAAGCGAAGAGTCCGCTGGTAGCGAGGTCGCCTCTGACGACGCTTCGTCCGTAGAGAGCATCAAAGAAAGCGACGTGAAGAATATGCTATCGACGAAAAATTATTTCTACGATAATTCCAAGTCGCCATATGATGAGGAGGAGGCGCACAACAGAGTATGCGCAAAGACTGGCAACATGGGTTCCAGTCACGACCGGAACTGGGATCCTAAATTTGAGGGTACACACAAGGTAGATGGTTATATGAACATCAAACCATTATGGCTGGCGAAAACCTACGATCGTAGCCTGATGGATCCTCGAGAGCAGGAACTCTATGATGCGCAGAAAGAAGAGTGGGAACGGCAGGATACGAAAAATGCTAGACTTCAGCCTCCGAAAAAGCCAAAACAACCAAAAAAGAAGAAGAAGAGAACCTATATTGATAGAATATTAGAGAATCGCTAGTAGAGAGCGTCGCTGCAAGTTTTCTTAGCCTACTCCTCAAAAGTGTGTGGCCACAGGTCTTGGACCGATGTAATTATTTCTTTGTTGATTGAAAGTTCTTTCCGGACGATTGTATTCGGTGAGGATATCTTTGGTTCATTGTAGTGCACCGAGTCCGCCGGATATAGTTGATGGCTCTTTGTTTGTAGCAATATTTCCGGCCGACCTTCCAGAACAATAGCGAGTGCCTGTGCCTGCTAATGATCATCTTCCAGTCTCTGAAAATCTCATCCTTCTGACTTCAATCCTCCCAAAAGCTTCCAACACTTGCAAGCATTTTTCTGCTGTACACGTAATCTAACAGAGCGAAGATGGTTGAGAAGAAGCCGAGCAGCAATGCTGGGTCGAACAAAAGTGGAAAAACTGGTAAGGCAGGAGCTGAGCACGAGCGTATCTCTCAACTTGTCCTGTTGACCAGAAAGCGGCGCGATACATGGGATGTACTGAGAAAGCAATTGGAGTCATACCAAGCTGCACAAAAGAAAGAAACCAACATCGAGCAAGACCACTATAACTACTACACTTTGGAGGCAGATCATGCCGCAAAGGTTCAAGCGTATAAGGATGCGCTCAGTCAGGACAAGGGTGGGAAGAAAGAACTAACGAAATCAGCCAAGAAAGCAAGGAATTTAGCACAGAAGGCTTATAAGAAGGCTGGAAGAAACAACAGATTTAATAAGGTGAAACGTCGTGCAGAGCATGATTCGATGGTGACAGCTCAAGCAGAGCTCGAAGATTGGCTCTACTATCAGGACATCTCCAAGCGGAGGAGAAGGCTACGGCTACTAGATCCTGAGCAAAGGAAGGCGGTTGAAAAGGAGCGATTTGACAGGCGTATTGGATATAAGCTTGAAACATCAGGCAACGACAAAGGCCACTTTGACTGGGTACATTCCTTGCTTGAGATGTACGACTTGAGAGACATAGGTGGCAAAGACTACAAGCAAGGTCGACATGACCATCTTGGAAATCACGTTGAGGGGAGGCAAGAAGAAGCTACCTTGCCTCTCGTGGGACCGGGTGAGCTTCACCTGTGGACACCGAATCACAGGCGTCAGCTTGTTGGCCTGCGTCCTTCAAGACTGAGCGACGACGACGACGAAGATGCCTGGCAGCATTTTGAACCGCATCGCTTCAAGCTGGACAATGCCGCAATCGAGGAAAAACGAGCAGCGATCGAGAAACAGTCCGATACCGAAACGCAGGAGTTGGAGTTCAATACGCATGAAGCAAGGCGTTGCCATGAGGTCGCAAGATACAAAGACAACAGACCTGACACATCAGGTGAACGAATGATAAATACCTCAAACGGAGTTGTAGTCGAGAACAGGTGGGGACAGATACGAACAGAGCAGGGTCTGTTCATCTCTGCCAAAGAGAGCTCCTGGGATTGGCGTAGCTCATACGACTGCCTCGGGCCAGTGATGTCGGGCTGGTTCGCTGAAACCAGCGCGATCAGGGACGAGGCCCCAGAAGAATTGATTGACCCGGATGACAATCTCGAGTATACGGATGGTGATAATGGTGGTGGAATTAGCGCACCGCAGGTCCCTGCAAAACGGGCCGAAGAAATACTTGTGAAGGCACGTAATGAGAGAGCAAAAAAGCGTGGGGACGTCCGAGAGCCAGTGGCAGAATCGATCACGGGTGAAGAGCCCGCGAATGACAAAGCCGGCTCTACAGATCCAGGAGACAAGAGTCGAAATATTCAGGCGAAGGTTGATAGCCGTTACCCTCCCGGAGAGTTCTGTAGAGGGAAGAAACCTTACAGGCCTGTCCTACGTAAGTGGTATACTACGGAGTAGGCGGAAGAAACAACTGGTCGTCGCGAACGGCACAAATACCACTTGCGACCACACTCGTCACCTGTCCATTCACCACCACGATCCCCAGTAGATGAAGAGATTCCATCTGCATCCTTACCTAAGGGCTTTGCTGAGACAGAGAATCAACCTATTGCTTTGGAGCCAAGATCTCGTAGGGAGTGTCCCTCCAACCCAAAGGGATGCCGAGCATTCTGGACTCATTCTTCGAATGAGTGTTGGATTCCATATCCTGAGCATCCGAAACGCTCACAAGACCCTATCGAGTGGCCAATACAGGAGATAGACGCTCCCAAAGGTATAGATGAAGGCGGTCCGGATGGCTATGTGCCGGCGATCGGGATGTCTGTGTACAACTCCAGGCTATATGACCACTATGGACTATTATATCCGAACACATCGCTAAGTAAATTCTGGCAGCGGCTGCAATGGCCCAGAATCGGTGTTCGAGTGCCCTATGAGCCGATGACGATCGAGGATCTTCGTTTACGAGGGGACAATCAAGACGAAACGAATATCGACCTGACAGCCGGCCTTACGAGAAAAGCTCAGCCAGGAAAGGGTGCGAGAGACGACCACATGGGTACCGAAGGTTACAATGAGCTCAGCGACGCGCCATCTTCATTCGTGGTCGCAGGAAACAAACGAAGAAAGCTGGGGACGATCCTAGCGAAGGATGTTAATCGAAGAGCCCTCTACGAAGTTCGATCAATGGCGGTACCGATCATCAACACACCACAAGAACCTTGGGCTCCACTAAACGATTCTAGCGGAGACGATTCTGGCGAGGATGATGGCGAATCCGACAATGAGGGAGATCTCTTCTTCAGATCATACGAGGACGAGTGCTTCCCAAAGGGTCGCAACGTACCTAGCGTCCCAATAGTAACGAACGAAGGGAGTGAAGATCCAGAAGCATCTCTAGAGGATGCAGCCCCAGCAGGTGATGCACCAGCTGTTGTGGTATCTGGAGAGGACAACGAAGCAGGTCATGCACAAGATTTGTAACCTTTGATCCAGGCGTCCTTTCACATGGCGGTACGTGCATTCTGAGTAGTCGCTTGTTGTAAAGTGTCGGCAGCCTCAGATGTAATGTACGGCGACATACGGGTTGCAGTGGAGGAAGAAATGATGCCCAGCTGTCTTTCGATCGGTGGGACGTATCACGCGCGACGCGTAGACGTTAGTCACGTCACAACGGCACGGGTGGCGTAGTTATAGTAAGTGAGAACACGTTCAAAATGTATTTGTATCGCGAGATGAAACCAATTCTCAAGACCTTTCCAAAGTCGCGATGTTAGGCCGTGGTCGATGTCGCGTTGGGAGGCATGAAGGGACAGATGAGGTATGCGGGTAATGTGTGAGGGACGCCACTTCGTGCTTAGTAATCAATAACATCATAGCGCCAGCTAAATGTCCCAGTGAACTCCAAACCCTCACATCTTGTATCTTTCTTCCAACGATGCCTTATAGGCTGGGCCGGCGAGTCGGTCAAAGAACGTTCAACTATGGATGTCCCAATGATTCAAGAGTAATTAGACATTGTCGTACAGGTCTAGGAATATATGATGTTGGACCCGCTAACCTTCATTGATGAACTTGAGAAGAGCAGGTTTCAGAAAGATTGGTATGATCGAGAGACGTTGACAAGTCAAGTGGGTGATGTGCGCATCACGACTGTCAGGTCATCAGCCTTACGATCGCCGTCTAAAAGATTACAACCCGGTGAACATCGAGTACCATCACGACGGTCTAGTTGCATCGAATGTACGACCATGTATCACCTTATTACACCCACATACCCCTCTGCGACCTCCTCTCTTCACCTCCCCCATACTCTGGATCCTCCCCTAAGTACTCCATTCTGTTCTCTCGGAAACGCCTGCCACCACTACCCTGCTCGAGACTCCAAACCTTTCCAATCTCTCTCCAGACGTCTCCGGCCCTTCGACCTATTCTTGGCGCCAAGAGCCTAGCTTCTGCCACAGTAGGAGGTGCCCTCGGATCTGAAGTCCGCCTGCTATCTAGCCAGTATAGATATGCATGCCGCGCGGACGCCAGCTCGCCAAAGCTCCAAGCCTTTGCATTCCGCAGCCTTTGACCTGGCTGGATGTGGATCTGATATGTCTCATCGTTGCGAGGATTGGGCTGAAGACAGATCATAGCGTATGGTGGTTGACAGAGACCCAGGAGAGTGATGATGCGTGGATCGTGAATGATGAGCTGGTCGACTGGGCCCTTATCCAAAGTCGCTGTGACTTGGATAATACGTTCATTGCGGTCGTGATGTATTTGCATGTCAAGAATGCTGGTGGAAGGGTAGTACTCGGCCTGAACCTCTTGAATGCTCGTCAAAGGAAAAGCTTCGGGGTTCTGGACCGATACCACCATGCAAAGGCTGTCAATGTGCTTGTCGCATGGAACACCCACGGGCATGACTGGTGACGCATGCGCGTCAGGCGGCGAGGGTGGTGGTGCGATCCGAGTGTCAACATCGGGTATCACCAAAATTTGTTGTGTTGCTGAGAGCAGAACTTCCATCTCGAGATGTGGGTCTTGGACAACCTCGAGTCCGACTTCTTCCTGCATTGCACCGTCCGCAGCGGTTTCTTCTCCCCCAAGCTCTTCCTGCGCACTGTGGTAATCTGACTCATCCTCACTCTGTTTCACCTCATCGTTTCCGTCTTCCAGCTCCGCGATCAAAGGTAGTTTGAATGTCGACCGCTCTTCAACCTGGTCATGTGCAGTCGCAAACTCGTTATACACCCTGATCGCTTCATTGCTGCCTAGATTATGGAGCAGGTCATTGATCTTCTGCTTCCGCATACCAAGCAGACGTTGTTTCCGACCACCCAATGTGAGGATCAAGCGCATAGTGTTGATGAGATCTCTCGCTACCGCTTGCGGCATGATAGCTAACAATCGAGGTTCGAACATGGTAAGGTCATGCGACGTCGTGATTACCCTCCTTTTTGAGGATATCTTCAACTTATGCATAAGAGCTGCATATGTTTTAGGCGCTGTCATGTTGAACGGCGGCGTAGGTTCGTGTGTTAGAAACTGTCGTGAATCTGGGGTATCGCTCTGCATGTTCGCTGACTGTCATACGTACTGGTATGAGCAGGCTAGAAATTGGTGGTACTGGGACGGAAGCAGTCAAGATTAGAACACGGTGATAGTCGCGAAGCGGGCATTTGCTTGTAACGTTGTTTTGATTTGTTTCACGTTCGTTTGCGCACTCACCAGTCACCTTGAAAAACAATGAGGGATGACGAAAATCCGATCCGGAGCAGCTGCAGGCAGTCTTCACTACGAGCCGATATACGCTCTCACGTTCAAGATATATATGACTTTTTCCCGGGCCTCGATAGTGCAACTTAGTGGTTCTACAAGACCAGTCCCCGCCGCCGTGTACTATTCAACCTTCAACGCCTACGAGGTGTCATACATGTGCCTAACACCCTGCTGGTAATGCATCATTTCCGGAACCGTCTCCTGTCTGTTGCTCCAAGTCTTTCAATCTAATCATCCAGCTCAACCTCCTTCTCCTTGCGAACAGTATGCGACCACCACATGTTCCCATACTTGACGATAGCAGCGTTGATCTCGCTGATCATGTTGTACCGCCGCCAAGCATCCTCTTCTATTGCTGGATTATCCGGCTCCGATACAGAAACTCCTATAATATTCTTGAGCTCTTGCTTCACGATAGCAAAAATCTCAATGTCTCCATCAAGTGCCTTACGGGCCGCAGCGAGCGCTTCGCGTGCCTCGTAGACTGCTGCTGTGAGCCCATCGACTACCTCATGCGGCTCCTGCATTGCGTGGGCGGCAAACATACGCATGGTAGCCATTCGCTCCTTCAGCTGTATACGATATACCGCATTGCGGCCTGCTTGAAGCTTAACTCTGGCATGTTCGAACGTGTAAATTTCGGGTGCCTTTTGCTCATCAGTTACCGTGGAGACGAACAGGGCGCGAATATTGTTGGAAGACTGTGGTTGTCGCTTCTGTGATTGCTCTAGAGCTTGGAGTAGTATCATCTTGCGTAAGTCTTCAAAAGGCATATCGAAAAAATGGACACCGGTCGCTGTCACTCCGTGGGCTGGACGCCAGGTGAGGGGGCCCGGTGTCTGAGGTTCTTCGCTGGTATCTACGGTCGTCGACCCTACGCCCTCCGTTGAGTCACTCTCTTCACCTCGCATGGAGACTGGCGACGTATGGTAGCTTGTTATGCGTTGCGCTTCTGATGCCATCGGGTTCAGTGCTGTAGCGTGGTCTAGAATGACATGTTCTTTCATGAGAATGCCTGGCTCGACGCTCGAACCATTGTTGTGTGCACAAGTCTCGTCTTGGCTCATCTCCTCTAGGATATCGTTCCTTCCCGAGCTCCCAGAATCTTCTGCGATGGAGCTGTCCAAAACGGTGTCTTCTAGCATATCAGCCTCTCCACACACATCCTGTTTCTCCAATCTATCGTCTATGTCGCTACGAGAACGTTTACTAAGTACAGAGCCTTCGATGATCTTGTCATGAGGACCAAATGTGGATGCGCCTGGTGTATCATCAATACATGCATCACTGGCTAGGCTGGCCCCTGAGGCGAAATGAGGTTTGCTGGTTACTTTTGTCCCGCCGAGACTCTCAGTCACTTCCGTAGCTGGAAGATCCTCGGGCGTAGCAACCTTCTTGTGTTGAGAGCGTCTTGGATTTTCTCTTGCCATTACGAGTGAACACGGGTGATTGTAGACCTTAGGAGCTGTCAGTATCTGGATTGAGGTCCAATCCTATGGGTTTCAACCAGATATGGGTCATTGTTGTTGGGATCATGCTTCCTGACTGTTTGCTTGGATGTTTTGTCACGCGAGCTAGTCACTAGTATAACCATCTCACGGCTTGTCTCTACAACCTTTCCATGTGCTGCTGCAGGTTGGGAAGTAGAACTGTAAGGCTTCTTGGTTGAAAAAGAAGGGACTGCTATGGGTGGTAGTGGCAGAGGTCGGAGAACTTCTCTGCTATCTGATTCTTTCTTGTCGGATTTTAGACGCGTCGTTGTTTTGGGTATCAGAGTTAAAGACATCTGAGATTCACATGGGCGAGTGGGTGACTTGGAGCTGATTTTACATAGCTTGAAGGCTCTACGCACCCCATTCAGAAGATCAAGGGAACGTCATTGGAAGAGCGTAGAAACGATCAAGCTAGCAAGGCAACCATTGTTCATGGTAGTCAGTGCACATTGTGGCGCGATAGTCAAAACCTATACGGTCCGTTTCCTGCATAGCCCACGAGGACCGGAAAACCTTTCGCTCATACACCACTCATGCGATCAGTGTCGACAACATTCGTCGGACGATCGGGTCAGAAAATGAATACTTTCTTTGGTCGCTATCAGGAACCTTGTCCGACTTTCAAATCCTTATCTCAAACCGTCCTTATTCTGGTAAACACCATCTAATGCAGTACCTCGCCAATGAGGAAAACCGCCTCTTTGTTGCTAAAGTTTACAACATCTCCCATAATCTCCTTGGCTTCCGGCCCAGAAAAGGCATTCTTCACCTCCTCGTGATTCTCCCATACGACCATAGATCCAAAAGTGTAGAGTGGGGGTGAGCCGTCGACTCCATCCGAGAACTTGGTTGCCGACCAGCTTTTGACGCCATATTTTGCCCAACGAGTCTGTATCAGTGGCATGTGCTTGTTGACGTAGTAATCGATGTCGTATTTGGCGTCCGGCGTATTCGGAAAAAGAACGGTGACTGTGATGGCCATTGTGGTTGCAGTGCAGCTTAACAAGAGTGGTGCAAAGATTTGGAGGTTGAATAGATCTTTGGAGGCGGAGACGATGATGAGGAAGACGTAGGATAGATGATGTACTTGTCAGTTGAGACACATTGACATGAGCCTTTTGTACTCCAGTCCAAACAGAGTCGGCCCTTTTTCGCTGTATCCCCAGAAAAATTATCACATAAGCTCCCAGCTTGCGAAACGGATATGACCTTAGACGGGTG